GAAAGTTTTCTTCCAGGATTTCATGGAATAGATTATCAATGCCCTTATTAGTTTCTTCACCTTTGGGGATACAGATGATCTGGATGTTTGGGCGTTTAATGGTATCTAGTATAACTCATACATTCTTCTAATTTTGGGGGGTTCTTTTCTCAGTCTTTTGGTGAATTTTTCTAGGTCAGAGGTTCTATCTTCTACATCTGAGATTCAATCTTCTGCGTGGTCTAATCTGCTTTTGATATTTTCAAGGGAAGTTTTTATTTCCTGTATTATAGCCTTCATCTCTAACAATTTTGTTTGATTCTTTTTTATGATGTGTATCTCCTCTTTCAGATCATGCAAGAACTTCCTCACCTCCTGGGACTCAGTGTCTCTTTTCTCCTGCATCTTCTGGAGTTCGTTGTCTCTATTTTCTTGCATCTCTGTTAATTTTGTCAATATGAATATATTAAATTCTTTATCTGACATTTCTTGAGTTCCCTTATATTCTCTGTAGAGGAAAAGGAATTATTCTCTTCCCTTAGAGGAGAGATATTTTCTGGGTTTTCATATTTCTTGAGCCTCTGCAATGGTTTCTGGTCATCTCATGGATTATACGTTTTTTTCCTAGTTTTTGGTTAAATCTGAGCATTCAGAGGAATGCAGGAGGAGGTGACCTGCAGTCTCTAAGCAGTACCGTTTTTCTCCCTTTGCACAGCTGATTCAATGATAATTGAGGATTAATTAGTCCCTAAAAGTATTCAGGTATTTGGCTTCTGAGCACCTAGACCTGTCTGGAATATCGATGTGTGTAGGCTGAGCAGAAAAGTGAGAAAAGTAAAAAGAAAAAAAAAAAGGAATAGAAAAAAAACGAAGAGGGAAAAAAATAAGAAAAAGTAAAAAAAATTCCTGTCAAAAAAAGAAAAGAAAACCGTGTGCCAATGGGGTCGCTCAGAACTCAAATATAGATGGCTGCTGATTGGCTTGTTCTAGGGGTAGAGGGAAAGGTAGGGATTATCAAGAAAAAGAGCAGCAGAGGGAACCAGCAGTTAGCGTAATGGCTATGTCGCTGGACTCCCACATAGTCGACCGCGGTTTGTGTCCCGGACCCGGTGGCTTAAAACTCGCCGGGTGTGTGTGTGTGCGTGCCCAAGATCCCGAGAGGAGAATGGAGGAGAAGGGATTGTGGAGTGACCATCCCCCCTGGGGGGTGATTTCTCGCTTTCTGTCTCTATGTCTCTCTCTCTCTGTCTGGTGAGCACACGCGTCCTATAGCGAAAACCTCTCAAAAAAAAAAAAAAAAAGAGCAGCAAAGAGCTGAGAAGTTTTAAAAAAAATTTTAATACATTACAAATAGATAGAGAGATGGAGAGAGACAGAGAGAATAATGGGGTACCCTAACCTGGCTCCTGGTTAGATCTGGGGGGCAGGAGGGTGAAGTCTGGGCAGAGGGCCTTCGGTGGCTGTAACCCTTAATGGGGCCACTCAGAACTCCAAGAGGATCAGCTTGATGAATGCTCTCAGTTGCACGTGGCCAGCTACTTTACTCCTCATCTTCAAAGCTATTGCCTCCTTTGCAAAACTTCTAGAACCACCACTGCAGTGTACGTTCATAGCAGTTCCCGGGCCAATGCGTTGTTGATACTATGAGTTGTCTCTGCTGCTTTACAACCCATTTTAACTTAAAATTAAAAATTCGTTCAAATTAGCTTTTCATTCAGCATCATTTCTGTAGTCTAAAAATACATATAAAATTGGGACCAGCAGTTATCGTAATGGCTATGTCGCTGGACTCCCACGTAGTTGACCGCGGTTCACGTCCCGGACTCAGTGGCTTGAAACTCACGCAGGGCGCGTGTGCGTGCGTGCCCAAGATCCCGAGAGGAGAATAGAGGAGAAGGGATTGCGGTGTGGCCATCCCCCTGGGGGCTGATTTCTCGCTTTCTGTCTCTCTGTCTCTGTCTGTCTGGTGAGCGCATGTGCCCTATAGCAAAAACCTCTCCAAAAGTAAAATACATATAAAATAAACAGCAAGTAATACATTATTAGCCAAAAAAAAAAGGGAGAAATGTACATTAAAATGATGTATAACATAACTATATTTATTTAAGAATGTATCCATATCAAGTGGTAATTTTCAACAATGCCAAAATGTGATTACTTTTGCACCAACCTAATATTTCTTGTATGATTGGCATCTGTGACGTGACTGAGATGCTCAGCTTAAAAACCCAACGTGGGACTTTGAGTAGATCTGAACAGCTGTGACCATCAGCAGTCACTGTGGTACTCGAATTGTGTCTAACTGGACCACAGAGAACTGGAGTGACACACTTCACTTTCCTGAAGCCACTCACATCATCATTCGTGATGGACGTAAACACACGTCACCTCCCTGGGCTTCTATTTCCCAGTGGCCGGAATCCCTTTGTGGTTCCCCAGAATTCTACTCTCGGCCATCTTCCTTTTCCTCAGTTTCTCCCAAGCCTAATTCAGCTTTCAGTAACACTGTCTTCTAAGCTTGAGACCTGTATTTTTCCACTATGTTTTGTGCCTCTCTCCTTCTTCTTTTTATTTATTTATTTAGTTTTTTGCCATAGGGCAGGTGCACTTGCCAGAGAAAGACAGAGAGGGAAAGTAAGAAATAGCCGCCCCCCAGAGGGGATGGCCATGTGTCACTAGCCCTTCTCCCCCATTCTCCTGGAATTTTGGGCACACACACCCACACGCACCTCACATGATTTTCAAGCAGCAGGTCCAGGACTTGAACTGCATTCGGCCTTGTGAGAATCCAATGCCTTAAGTACCACACCACCTGCTAACCCTGTTTTATACCTCTCTACTTGGATAAAGATGGAAGAACTTAGAGGTCCTAAGTTGAGCCTAGTCACATGCCTCCCCCCTCAACTTCAGAAACTATTATAGAGAAACTTTCTCCTTACTTTAGATTCTATTCACACATAGATAAGACTTAGTGTGAATGGTGTGTTCTGTGGAAGCAGAAGTCTGCATGACCTAACATGCCAGCAAGGCTCTGTCTATAGGTCAAAACCATGGCATCTGGCACACTGTTAGTATGGACTTGTAGAAATTTAAGACCACTGCTTGACCTCCAGAGATGAGCTCCAGCTTGTTGGTTGGTATAAAAGTTTACTATTGCTGCAGTTCTTTGGAATCTTCTCACCCAGGGCATTCCCAGACGATTCCAAATAAATCTTAAACCACATGTTAATCTGAGTGTGGTTGATTTTTTTACTGCCATTTCCTAGCTCAGTTAGTGACCTCACTATCTATCCAATTGCTTGAACTAGAAATTTCAGACTAATTCTCAACAGTATTTTCCCTCCCCCTTAATGTGGCTCTAATGCACCCCTTCCTTCCTGTCCCTGCTGCACTAGTTCCTCACTGTCTTTCCCCTGAACCTCGGATGACAGGAACCTGACCGAACCCCTGCTTTCAGTCTTTAATCCATCCCCGTAAACTTTTTTTTTTTTTTTTTTTTAATTTGCCAGAGGACATGTGTACTCACTGGAAAGACACAGAGAGAGAAAGGAAAAACAAGTAGACCCCTTCTATGTGTCATGGCCGCACTGCCACCCCTTCTCCTCCAGTTCTTCCTCCTTTTGGGATTTGGGGCATGCACACACATGTCCTTGGAGTGTTTTTCAAGTTGCCAAGTCCCAGGCTAGAACTGTGCAACTGGCCACATGGGATCCAGGGGCCTTAACCACCAGGCCAGGAGCTAGCACACCCCCTCCTTTTTAAAGAGAGATTTTTGCTCTCTAGGTGCATGCACTCACTGGAGAGACAGAGAGACAGAAAGAGAGAAATCAGCCCCCAGTGGGGATGGCCACACTGCAATCCCTTCTCCTCCATTCTCCTCTCAGAACTTTGGGCACCCAGGCACAGGCGCCCTGCATGAGTTTTAAGTCGCCGGGTCCAGGACTCGAACCACTTTTGACTAAGTTCAAGTCCAGCAATGTAACTGTTACTCCATCTGCTGTTCCCTCTCTTCCCCCCTTTAAAAAAAAAAAGATACAGAGTATGTGCACGGGCAGATGAGAGTGGGTGAGAAGGGAGGCAACCACAATCCCCTTTCTCTACCCCTTCCAGCTCAGAATCCTGGGTGCTCAGCCCAGCATGTTTCCAGGATGACCCAGGGATATGAACCTGCAGCCAGACCATCACTCCCAGCCATGCAGGGTACTTGCCTTACTGCTGTGCCACAGCAAGGGGGCCGTCTTCCCATACTCTTCCAACATGTAATTCTGATCACAGAACTCAATTCATTACGCACCTTTTAGGCCATTGATATCTTTGGAGCCAAATTGGATCGCCTTGGCAGGAAACTTAAAATATTTTAGCCTTTGTCCCCCTCACCCCCGCTTTCTAGGATTACAGTAACCTGACTGAACCCTTGCTTTCAGTAACCTTAACCCTCTCACACAACCTCGTCAACGATTACGCATCTAGCCACTGACTGAATACAGATGCGGTTCCGAGCCTACATATGACTTAACACACATTGCTTCCTCAGCCTGGAATTCCTTCCCACATTTTCTTCCTCATAAAGTCACACGCTTTAAGATCCAGCTGAAATGTCCCTCTAGTAAAGGGCTTCTTTTCCTAGTGTCAGAGGCAAAATTGATTATCCCCCCTTTATCTTCTGTGGCCCTTTAGGAACATCACCATGAGAAAGTCAATCGGATTATTCTGTTAAATAATTTCGAATTCTGGCATTCCTACAGGCCGTGAGCTCCTTGAGGGCAGCAATCACGGTTTACTTATTTCTGTAAATCAAGCATTTAGTATTTCCATACGTAGGATGGAGTTGAAGCACTTGGGAGCAGATCTTTCTTTATTATTCATCTATGTATTTTTTTGAACCTGGAAGACTTAATAGAGACAGAATTCTAATTAGCATGGCTGTAGTTCTTTGCTCATTTCTAGTCTTCATTCTTCTCTTACCCCTCTTCACGGAATAGCAGACCCAAGCTCGTTCCCTCCCTGTAGCCCCTAGCAACCTTTTCATTGCCTCCTTCAAGGATATCAGCGTTGTGGTTTCATTGTTCATCTTCCTCGGGCAGAGTGAAAGGAAACAAAACCAAGGAAAACAAAAACCCAGCAGTTGTTTGAATCAAGGTTTTCTGCTGTCATCCACCCGGCAACAGGCAGCCCCCAGCGTGAGCATTCAATCTAAATTCTGCCTGAAAGGTCAGTCGGTACAAGAAGCTTTTAATAGCTTGTACATCCAAATATAGTTTCAAAGAACTGCTCGTGTGAACACAGGTGTCCTGGGATGCACTCTACCATTTGCCTTTGAAAATTGAGTCATAGTACGTCAGTATGGTTCAATAACCATCGCATATAATGATGAGCCTGTGAATGTTCTGCTAACGCATATACAGATAGACAACTGTATACATATATTAGAATTACATTTGATGGGCATTGTCCCTATGGTATTTTAACAGCTTCATTGTTCTATGACAACCTAAGTTAGGTTTGAAGAGTGGCCTAGATCCTTCATGATGATGACAGTGTTGAAGCTAAGAATCTAGGGCCAGCAGTGGAGCAGGAGTCAAGCAGCACTCTGACCCTGGGCACATGTGGGGAAATCCTGGGTTCATCTTTGGAGGTCTGCCTATACACTGGGTGTCTGTGCATGCCCATAATCCAGGCTGGGTGAGGCTGGTGGTGAAGAGAGCCCTGCAGCCTAGTGGTTAAGGGAGCTGGATCCCACATGGTCAGCTGTGGTTCAATTCCTGTCCCCAGTGGCTTGATAAACATGCTAGGTATGTGTGTGAGTGTCCCAAATCCCAGCAGAATGGAAAATGGAGGAGGAGAGATTAGGACATGACCATGCCCCATTGGAAAATGTTTTCTTCCTCTTCCTCTCCCTCTTTCTCTCTATCTCTCTCTGGCAAGCACACACACCCTCTGATGATAAAAATATAAATATAGGGAACCAGCATTTAGCGTAATGGCTATGTCACTGGACTCCCACGTAGTTGACCGCGGTTCGTGTCCCGGACCCGGTGGCTTAAAACTCACGCCGGGAGCGTGTGCGTGCGTGCCCAAGATCCCGAGAGGAGAATGGAGGAGAAGGGATTGCGGTGTGACCATCCCCCCTGGGGGGTGATTTCTCGCTTTCTGTCTCTATGTCTCTCTCTGTCTGTCTGGCGAGCGCACGCGCCCTGTAGCAAAAAACCTCTCAAAAAAAAAAAAAAAAAAAAGTTGCTATAGGGCACATGTACTCACCAGAGAGAAAGAAAAGGGAGAGTGAGAAAGGAGAGTGAGAAAGCAAGTCACTAGATCTGGGACTCAAATCATGGTTGGCCACGTGAGGGTTCAGCATCTTAACCACGCCACCACCTGCTAGACTCTTCCCCTTGTGTTTTCGTTGAATGATTAAATTATCTTTTAAAATTTTTTTCTGAGAAAATATATATATGAAGCCAAATCTCTCTAGCTACCATTTTAGCTGTAACCTTTTTGTCATTTATTTCCAAATATTCTATAATTTTCTTTTTTGCCTAGGGTTAGTTACTAAAATGCTACTTATTTTCCAGATTGTATAGTGAATGTATAGTTTTGTTATTAGTTTCTAATTTTATTGCAGTATCAGAAAACATTTTAAATGAATCCTTTCTAATTTATGATATCTTCCTTTCCATTCTAACATGTTCTATTCTTTTAATGCTCCAAATATTCTCAACAAGAATGTATATACTGGTTAGTGGATATATATATATATATATATATGAATATATATATTGGCCAGCAGTGGAGCAGGAGTCAAGCAGCACTCTGACCCTGGGCACATGTGGGGAAATCCTGGGTTCATCTTTGGAGGTCTGCCTATACACTGGGTGTCTGTGCATGCCCATAATCCAGGCTGGGTGAGGCTGGTGGTGAAGAGAGCCCTGCAGCCTAGTGGTTAAGGGAGCTGGATCCCACATGGTCAGCTGTGGTTCAATTCCTGTCCCCAGTGGCTTGATAAACATGCTAGGTATGTGTGTGAGTGTCCCAAATCCCAGCAGAATGGAAAATGGAGGAGGAGAGATTAGGACATGACCATGCCCCATTGGAAAATGTTTTCTTCCTCTTCCTCTCCCTCTTTCTCTCTATCTCTCTCTGGCAAGCACACACACCCTCTGATGATAAAAATATAAATATAGGGAACCAGCATTTAGCGTAATGGCTATGTCACTGGACTCCCACGTAGTTGACCGCGGTTCGTGTCCCGGACCCGGTGGCTTAAAACTCACGCCGGGAGCGTGTGCGTGCGTGCCCAAGATCCCGAGAGGAGAATGGAGGAGAAGGGATTGCGGTGTGACCATCCCCCCTGGGGGGTGATTTCTCGCTTTCTGTCTCTATGTCTCTCTCTGTCTGTCTGGCGAGCGCACGCGCCCTGTAGCAAAAAACCTCTCAAAAAAATATATATATAAATGTAGGTATAGACCATAAAACATGGTAGAAGACGAGAAAATAGTTACTGAAATCTTGGCTCACTAGGAAAATGCTTACATTAAAAGTGGATGACTTGATCTTAAAGGAAAAATTTAGGTCTTTGGTTAACAGAGAGGAATGTGAAGGATATTATAAACTAGAAGAACTGAGCGAAATGGCATAGATTGCAAGTCAACAATGTGTTTAGGGAACTACGAATGAGTATGTTTTGAGCATATATGTGAGAAAAAGAAAGCAACAACATTTAAACTAATAGAACAAGTTTATGTTCACTCATTGAATAATTTCATTTATTCAGTGTTTACTGATATTGAGGCAGGAGAAAGTTAGCAAGTGGAAAACCAATTTAGGCAGAAAATTTCCTGCCCAAGGTAATGTAGGCACGAGATTAGTCGGGGGAAGGGGTGGGGGTGTTTAATTGGTTAAGCCACATTTAATATTGCCAGTGAGATGAATCAGTGCGCCCAGCCACATTGATAGGGCCAATAAGATGAAAACAATCAGTGGGTCCAACCAATAGCCAACCTACGCGACCTAGGTTAAAAATGACAAAGCTGGCAGAGTATAACTGCCAGGGCCATTTGAGACCCTCTTTGTCTGCTCAGGCCCGCTCCTTCCTCTCAAGAGTGTACTTTTACTTTTACTTAATAAACTACATCTGCCTTTCACTCTTGGTGTGTTTCATTCAATTCTTTGCTCGAAACACCAAGAACCTGGATATTATCACAGAAGCCATCCCACAACAATGTCAAAAGACAAAGTTACGGGGCCAGCAGATGGTGTGGTGGTTAAAGGGGCCGGACTCCCACATGGCTGACCACAGTTTAAGCCCTGGACCTGGGACCTGGTGGCTTGCTTTCTCACTTTCCCTCTCTTCCTTTCTCTGTCTCTCTCTGATCAGACTGGAAAATAATAATAATAGATAAAGTTAAATAGAATGATTCTTTTTTTTAAAAAAAAGACAAAATTACAATGAATTAGTTTAAAGATCTGAGTTGGTTTTTGTTTTTGATCGTGGAATTGAGCAACACTTCATTCTATCTTATTTTCTATTTTATTTATATTTCTCATGAGCTGAGCGGAGAAGGTTGGTTTTATAAACAGAAAGTAACTGAAAAAAGCAGAAACAGGAAATGAAAAGCAGATTGCCTGTTTCAACGTTACTTTTCTTTGTAAAGGTGAAAACAGAGTGGACCTCCTTATCTTGTTGGCTCTGTCTCGTCTGGGGGTTTGGTTAATTATCTGCTACTCTCTTGGTTTCTCAGAAGGTAGTTTTGGCTTGGTGACATGACCTTCAGCATGAGTAGCTTCACTTTGCTTTGGTCTGTTGAGCAGGAACTCAGTCTAAACTGAGGGCCTCCTGTGTATTTTAACACGGGACACTGTCAATATCACTGAATGAGTAAAACCTGTGAATGAATGACAGGTTGGCACTATCCCAGGCCCTGGGAATACAGTGATGTGGTAAGGCAAAATCCTCATTTTAATAAGGAACATACTAGTCTCAAGCTCTAGAAGGAAATGACCAAACAGCAGCTCCTGAGGCCTAAAACAGAAGGTAGAAGGCACAGAACCAGCTACATCCTTCCATGTGTTTGTTGGAAACCTGAGCAATAACAAACCTGTTCCTGAATTAAAAACTGGTATTAGTGATGTTTTTGCTAAAAACGATCGTGCTCGTGGGGATATCAGTCCGTACATCTAGGAAGTTTGGTTATGTCAGCTTTGCATCTGCTGAAGATCTAGAAAAAGCTTTAGAACTGACTGATTTTTTTTTTTAGAGGTTTTTGCTATAGGGCACGTGTGCTCACCAGACAGAGAGAGACAGAGAGACAGAAAGCAAGAAATCACTCCCAGGGGGGATGGTCACTCCGAAATCCCTTCTCCTCTCAGGATCTTGGGCACACACACACACATGTGCCCGGCATGAGTTTTAAGCCACCGGGTCCAGGATGTGAACCGCGGTCAACCACGTGGGAGTCCAGTGCCATAGCCATTACACTAACTGCTGGTCCCTAGAACTGACTGATTTAAAAGTCTTTGGCAGTGAAATTAAACTAGAAAAAAACAAAAGGAAAAGGCAGTAAGAAAGATCGAGATGCAAGAACACTTTTGGCCAAAAATCTCCCCTACAAAGTCACTCAGGATGAATTAAAAGAAGTATTTGAAGATGCCACGGAGATCAGAACAATCAGCAAAGACGGGAAAAGTGAAGGGGTTGCTTGTATTGAATTTAAGACAGAAGCTGGTGCAGAGAAAACCTTGGAGGAAAAGCAGGGAACAGATTGATGGGCGGTCCATTTCTCTATACTACACTGGAGAGAAAGGTCAAAATCAAGACTACAGGGGGGAAAGAACAGCACTTGGAGTGGGGAATGGACACCTCTGGTTTGGAGCAACCTCTCCTACAAGGCAACAGAAGCAGCTCTTCAGGAAGTATTTGAGAAGGCAGCTCTTATCAAAGTGCCTCAGAGCCAAAATGGCAAATCTAAAGGGTATGCATTTATTGAATTTTCTCCATTTGAAGATGCTAAAGAAGCTTTAAATTCCTATAATAAAGGGGAAATTGAAGGCAGAGCAATTACGCTAGAGTGACAAGGGCCCAGAGGCTCACCTAACACAAGACGTCAGCCCTCCGAACTGTTTGTCAAAGTCCGTCTGAGGATACCATTGGAGAGACATTAAGGGAGTCATTTGATGGCTCT